TTTTCTGAGACAAGCTCCCAGAATGAGTAGTTTGGTTTCGAGTGTGGCTCTGGCAGCGGTGTAGGCCAGTCTATCCACATTCAAGTGACAGCAGAACAGCACAAAGATGGAACGGCAGAATGGTCTTGTTAAACACAGGTTATGGTTTTAGGAATGAAACGGGTACGTGGGTTTGAATTCTATCAAGACCTCAAATTCTATCACTGACCTTGGAGGAGGGGCACATCTCTTCATCTCTAAAACAAGATGGTACCTCGGACATGTAAAGGTTGTATGGTGCAGAGAAACGTAAAGGGGGAGAGTGACAAACAAAAAGGCTTGCTAACATAGCCATTTTTCTTAGAACACTTTGAAGTAGCTACTGTTTTCTTCTTGCTACTTCTCTTAAGACGTATTTACTGCCTACGTGGACGATTCGAATCGTACTAGAAATCACTATACGCAATAAATGGATTCTTTGTCAAAGACCAAATCCTACAGGCTTAAGGGGTTTGCCTAAGCCTTTCTCATTTTCTTTAAAGCAAGTACCTCAGGAGGGGCTGAGAGTACGGCTGTGTGTTGAGAAATAGAATTCTAAACAGAAGCTATTCTTCCATTTTTGGCACCGTACCTCGGGCATTTTGAAATAACCCCGAAGATACAAATGATAAAGCTCCCTTCGAAAAATGGTTACACCCAGGTTCATGCATCCGTCTCATTACCTGGTCAGCCAAATTTGAACAGACAAACTGGAAGAAATCAATCTTGCAGTTGGGGGTTCTTTGCATTAATCGATCTGGCCTTGTCTGAAGTGGTTTTCAATCCAATGGATGTCTGAATACACTGGCCACATCTAAAGGATCCTGTCAACACAATTCCTGCTGCTGCAACAGTAACTCTGAACTTACACAGCTCCTCCATCAGCCACTTTCTGAAATGAGGACTTACCAACAATTCAAAAACGGAAAAAAATTTAATCCTCAAGTTTATATTTTTAAAACAAAAGAGGCTTCAATTTTTTATATTATTTTATGTGTACGGACTGTTTGTATCCCTGTATCTATGTAGCTTGTGTGTGCCTGGTGCCCAAGGAGATCAGAAGATAACTTCTAACCCCATAGAACTGGAGTTTCAAACAGTGTGAGCTGCCAGGTGACGGCTGAGAATTGAACCTTGGTCCTCCAGAAGAGCAGCCATTACTCTTAACCACTGAGCCATTTCTTCAGTCCCCAAACTTTTAAAACAGAACATTTAAAATTTAGTTTTTGACACTGATTAAATGATTTTGGATCCTCTTTGCATTACTATTTGGTGATAACATATACAGATGTTTTAAAATAAAAAAATATGGCTTTAAAAATTAAACTTTCAAACTCTTGAGACGAATATTTACTTCTGTCTGGTCTGTCTGTCATCGTGTGTGTGTGTGTGTGTGTGTGTGTGTGTGTGTGTGTGTGTGTGTGTGTGTGTGTGTGTGTGTGTGTGTGTGTTGGTTTGTGTGTGTGTGTGTGTGTGTGTGTGTGCGTGCGTGTGTGTGGCTTTATGTCCACATGTATGGAAGATAAAGGACAGCATTAGAGTCATTCCTTAAGAGGTGTAGATTTTTTTTTGAGATCGTTTCTCACTGGCCTGCTGCTCCCTGGTTAAGTTCGGACAGCATTAGAGTCATTCTTTAAGAGGTGTAGATTTTTTTTTTGAGATCGTTTCTCACTGGCCTGCTGCTCCCTGGTTAAGTTCTCATTAGTCCTTGTCTCCTCCTGCCTAGTACTGGGATTAAGCATGCACCATGATTCCTGGCTTCTTTTATGTAGGATCTGGGTGTTAAACTTGGGTCCTGGTGCTGGCAAAGCAAGTACTTTACCCACCAAGCTATCTGCCCAGTCCTGAATGTCTGCATCTGTTCATGGCCTAAATTCCCAATGACTGGAGCCTCTGAAGTTTTCTAGTATCAGTGATTCATTAATAAGCCGCCAATAAGATCAGCAGTGGGGCGTGACCTAGAGGATAGATACATGTTGTGTGGGTGTGTTGAGCCTGTGTGTAATTATTACCAAAAGGACTGTGACTAATTAGAGCAGTAATGGAAAGGTTTTACTCGCTTACTCACTTAAGAGTCAGAGCTGCCAGCCACAGGGAAGTCTAGATGGTATCGGTGTCATAAGAGGACAGACTTGTAAGAGCATGGATGGTTATTTCTAAGGAACTAAGTTTTGTGGGGGGGAGGGGGGTTGTTGTTGTTTTTTTCCTTCTGAGCCAATTTTGCATTCATTTTATGGACAAGAGATCTTCTATTTGCTTATTTTTTAAATTTCTAAATGTTTACCTCTTAGGTGAGAGAAGGGAATTGCCACTGGCTTCACACTGAGCTCTCTTATCTCTACCCTACAAGTATGATCAAAGGCTAATACTAGCCGGGTTAGCCTATGCAAGACAACTTCCAGGTGAGCGTCAGTACACAGGCCTGTCTGTGATCCTAGCATTCAGGAGGATGAGTCAGAGAGATCCCGGGTTCAAGGAAGCTGAGAATGCCGGAAGAAGCTTGCCTCCTCCTTCATCTTCTTTTTGCAGAGAATTTCCTGAATGTATTATCAGTGAGAAAGCTACTGGGAGAAACCCATCTGGCATTATAGTTTAGCTGCTATTGTTACGATGTTATGTCTGTAAAGCCTGCATTTATCTACACCTTACTTCTCTGGCACCATTTCTCTTATTTTAAAAAGAGTGTGGGTTCTCTCAGGCAGTGACAGAATATTCAAGGAAAGCACCAAGAAGCCATGCCTCACCTTCCCACCAGGCTGTGCCTCCTGAGGAAGCCAGGGTGCATATTGCTGAAGTGAGAATTTGAAGGTGGTAGGCTAGGTCCTGCCTGAGATCCTGCAGGTTCTGCAGCATTGCTACTGCTGTGTACACATCATGCTTCTCCACAGTGAGGAAGGCTGGGTCAACTGCATCCCTGTGCACGCACGTGCATTGGAGCTCATGGCACACGCTAGAGAGGATATGCCCACTCCATCCAGCACACCTAGCCTCACACGGGAGACACCTAAAAATATCCCAGAGGGTTTTAGATGACAAAAGGGAAACAGTTCTCTGCTCTCTCCTAGAAACATTATTTCAACAGGAAGACCTGACTCTAAACAAAACTTTACTGTTTAAAATTTCCAAGCTCAATCTTTTCATCCTTCAAAATGAGGACGTATGATCCCCGTCAACCTTGTGTTTGAATGCCCAGGTGTGATCTGAAATGAAGGGCACAGCCTCGTATTCCAAGCAGGCAGCTTGACCCATGCTGCTGGCTAGAGAGCAGCAACTCTGACAGAAAGAAGCAACTTGAGCAGAGATGCAGCCCAGGGCAACTCCTGGCATCATGGTAAAGCTTCTCAAGTCCAATATAAAAAGGGTGAGAAGCAAATTGCATTATAGTAAGGCCATGGCAAGCACAGCATCCTATACTCGCCCAGTGACTCTAACTAGTGTCTCTCAGGACATCTATACCTGACTTAATTTCTTGCTCAAAGTATTTATGACAACAGCATTGACTTCTTAACCTAGCTCTTTTAGAGTTTGTTTTGGTTTTGGCTTTTGGTGTTTTGAGACAGGGAGTCTGGCTGCTGTCTAGCTCAGGCTGCCCCAGAATGCAGTGACCATCAGGCTAGACTCAACTTGAAGTCACTACCCTTCTTCTCCCTCTCAAATGCTGGGACCTGGGATATGCACCACCACACCCAGCTCCTTTTTTTTTTTTTTTTTAAAAGCGCTTTCAACTTTAATATACAGTGTGAACATTTAATAGTTAATTATAAACTGTGGAGGGAAAGCCCCCACTGACAGTAGGACAACTGAAGAAACTGGATCATGAAGAACGAAAAATTCACTCATGGACAAAAATCAAGGATGGGCAGATGCACTTCGTAAAATAAACAAACAAACAAACAAACTGAAATAAGTGTTCCTTTAAGTGGGCTTGGCTCAGGGCTTGTAACCCCCAGCACTGTTTAGGCTAAGGCAGGAAAATCTTTGGAAGGTTACACAGAATGTTCCGTAGCAGCCTAGGCTACATCCTGAGACGCCTGTCTCAAATAAATAAATAAACAAACACTCTTTTAAGATTTATAAGCTACAGCCAGGTATGGTGGCGTACACCTTTGATCCTAGTGCTAGGGAGGCAGAATGGATGTGAGTTCAAGGCCAGCCTGGTCTACAAACAGAGTTCCATCGCTACACAGAGAAACCCTGCTCAAAAAAAAAAAAAAAAAAAAAAAAAAATAAAAAAACTTTATAAATCCCGACATTTATTTTATCCTCATAAATCACTTTCTTGAAGTAATTTTCAAAATGGCATCTTGAAAATTAAAACTTTAAACTTTACGCTCCCATGCAAACTAGGAATTATATTATTATACTCTTTAAAAAGTTTAAGTTTTAATTTAATAAGTTACATGTTTTTAAAATGTTAATTATTTTTAAAGTGTTATGATCTTAAATTTTTAAGAATTTCAATCTGAGTTCACAAAGTTAAAGCAGGACTTACAGATGTTTGTTTCAAGCGGGGTTCTCCAAGGCCTTCCACGCTAGTCATTCCTGAAATAACTCTCGGGTGGAATAAATAATGGGCTTTTCTTACTGTGGAACTTCTCACTGCAAATGTAAGAGGCTTTCAGAGGCTCAGCTGGCCCCACTGACCTGACAGCATTCCTGACCTTATCCACAAGGAAAAGAAATGGGAGTTTTCTCCACACTTTTCCACCCAAGTGCAAACTTTGTCTAATAAAAATGACTACCGAGATCCCAGTCCTTGGCAAGCTGAGGCAGGAGGATGATGGGTGAGGGCAGCCTGCGCTACACAGGGATGCTGATCAAATCGAGAAAACACAAATCCTCTTTCATTCCGTGACGTCGGGGGACCCGAAGAGCAGCAGCCTGTGGTTGATCGCTAGTCATTTCTTAATGCCCCTTTAACTTCGCCCTTAAACACCTTTCATCAACTCAAACTGTGCCAGCTGCTCTCACAAGGGTCCCACCGGGGCCGAGAGAAAGCCTGGTACTCCGTGAAAGGGCCGTCCTCGCGTTTGACTGGCATGGGGGGAGCCGCCCACAGCTCCAGCTGGGAGTGTTTTACAAGGTCCAGGTGAAGCCTCACTATCGGAAGTGGAACACTGGGGTGGGCCTTGAAACTTCTTAGCCTGGCCACCCCACTTCCTGTCCACTGTGTGCTTTCTGTCTGCCGACGCCACATGGCCACCTCGCTTACGATCCCGATCCCGTTGCCACGCTTTTCACTGTATAGACATCTCCCTTCTTTGACTGTATCACACCAGGACACAAAGCTAGTCTGGTGCATCCGTCTCTGCCCTAGACTCCATGTTTTACGTACACCCACAAGAGAAGAAACGCTACACTGGCTATAAAGCCACACAAAAACATGGAAGCAGAAGAAAGGGTTAGAGCGCTTCCCGGGGAGACACAGACAGTTGGGTTCAAACAAGTCCTGCAAAAATTATTTATCCTGTGACCAACCCCCGCTTCCCACGAAACCACCTCTTTCTTGAACCACTACCATGAACTTATTACATTAGTAATAAGTTATTATTATACTATAACATAATAATAAGTAATTAGTGTATTTGAAGCTTATGATGAGCACTTGGCATATTCTTGCTTAGCTCCAACATGATTTTCTCTTAGCAAATATGGGGTACAACTGGTAATATGTAGGGAGACACTGTAGATCCACCTCCTAGTAGCCCGGACAGGTGTGCCAGGACACGCCCAAGAGGGCGTGGTGGGGGGAGGGAAGAATAAAGTGACCTAAGAAGGCTTCTTAAGGGACCGCGGACACGTGGACCTTCCCTTCTCCTTGCCCTTCTCCCTGCTCCCTCCTCCTCGCTCTGGCCTGGCTGCCCTGGCACGCTTTGGCCTGCGCTTGGCTGGTGTATCCGAATAAAGAAACCTTGGCCCTATTGACGGCTGATTGATCACTCCACAGTAATATGTTGTTTTAAAATTCCATAAAAATTTTGAAGCATACACTGACACCACGTTTACATAGAAAAAACAAAACCTATCACTTGAAACTTTCAGATTACCAGTTTATTATGTTGGTTTTTCTAGAATGAAATCACAAACATCTCACATTTGATCACACAGTTGTGTTTACAGGTTATATGTGCTAGAGACTGGGAACATGGTAACTCACCTACAGCCAAATACTGCATTATGTATAAAGTCAGAAAAGTTGTTTTTCTAGTTTACCAAAATGCAACTACATATATCCGACTGCAGTGAGTACTTACAGGATTAAAAGTTTTGAAATTTGCACCACAAATGTCACAGCTTAATTATGTTACTGACTTTTGTTGCAATGCTTATTTTTACTCTAACATAATTCTGTCCTTTCCAGATATTAGGAGCCCTAAAATATCTGATTCATAAATCCATAGCCTGAGCTACAGTGAACTCAATACACCAGGCCAGAACAGGACACACTGCAAAGACATTTACAGCAATCATTTAAATGTCTATGCAGATAAACAGGTCCGTCATTTGTAATATTTCCTTTTGTTGTTATTGGTTTTTTGGCTTTTTTGGTTTTTGGTTTTTCGAGACACGGTTTCTCTGTAGCTTTGGAGCCTATCCTGGCACTTGCTCTTGTAGACCAGGCTCCTCTCGAACTCACAGAGATCCTCCTGCCTCTGCCTACCAAGTGCTGGGATTAAAGACGTGCACACCACCCGGCAATATTTTCTTTACTAACTGGTTCTCATCAAACCCTAGGAGGTCCACTTGCAGAGATTTCAAGATTTTGGTCTTGGTGGCTGGCAAAACTTTGCAGGACATTCCCAGGTAAGAAGCACAAGTCATGTGAAGAACCCTTATCCTAAATGATGGCTGTTGTAAAGGCCACCAGAATAATAAAAACACATAGCATTAAAATGTTGTATGGCGGCAGGATGGTGGGGGCACACGCCTTTAATCCCAGCACTCAGGAGACACAGGCAGTTCAAAGCCAGCCTGGTCTACAAAGTGAGTTCCAGGACGGCCAAGGATACACAGAGAAACCCTGTGTCAAAAAAACAGGTTTTTTATGACTAGTGAGATAGTCAAAGACTTGAGGACCTGAGTGCAATCCCTAGGAGCCACATGATGGAAAGAGAGAACTGATTATAGCAAGTAAGTTGTCCTCTGGCTTCCACACATTTGTGGGGGGAATGAATGTGCACGAATAAATATGTACCAGACTTTTCAAAAACCTGTGGTGCAAACACTCCCTTAAAATAGTGCCTTAGCAGGCAGAACTCCTATTCAAAGGCAAGAAAGGCAGAATAAAAAGAGGGAGGGACAGGAGGACCCAAGTTCCAGGCTAGCAAGGGCTAAAGAGCAGCCTATCTCTTTAAAAACAAACAGAAGGGGGAGGGGGGGACTAAAAAGCTGAGGGATAGCAAAGTTTGTTAAGAATAACAAGGTTTGGGAATGGTCACCTTGACCAAACAAGGCCTTAGCAGTCGTAATGACCCTATCATATTGTTAAGACCTAAACACTCATGAAGTTAAAATATCTTCTGGAACAGGAGATTTGAAGCCAAGGATTAGATAACATGCAGCTTACAATCAGAATGTGATTCTCCCCCAAAGGACTGTTGTATGATGGTGAACAGCTAAGTATTTTCTAGATGTCTATAGGCCTTGATCTGCCAGCACATACATGGACATTAACAGAAAACCAGGGCTGATTGGCAAGAGAACAAATGTTTCTTATTTAGGATTTAGTAGGTTACATTTGAGGGGAAAACTTTTTAAATAAATCATTTGGGATTCCTTTGGTCAATAAAATAAATAGGATTGATCAATTTCTGTCACACAACAAAAATATCATGTTTTCCTGGTTTGTTTGTTTTTCTAAAGTAGGAGAAATAGAAACACCATTGAAGAAAGAGAAAAGTATTTATGAGAATGGAAGTGAATTTTAGAGGGCCAGGGCAGGCCTGAAACGCAAAAGCTCCCGCTACAGTGCCTGCCGGCCTCCCTCCCTCTCCACTCCCACACAGGGAGGGAGCTGAGCTTGGTTACTTGTAGGTGAGAGGGGTTTCCAGTCTTTCTACCAACTGACTTCTTTCGTGCTAATCTGGATGCTCCTCTTTCCCCAAGCCCTATTCTACAACAGGACAGAGCAGAATTCAAGACATGACTCAAACCTAAGTGTCTTCTCTAACTCCACACAGGCCTCCTGAGCCATACACACAGAAGTCTTCCATCTGGGCAGGTGTGTGTGTGTGTGTGTGTGTGTGTGTGTGTGTGTGTGTGGGGGTGTGTGTCGGAG